TTCATTTTTGTACACATAATCCTCCAGAAACACTAGCTCTCCTGACAGAATCATGTGGAACAATATATAAACACAGAGGGAGCTTCCTAATAAGCTTGAGGGAATTGACTGTCTAAAGCTGACAGAGATTGTATGTTTTTGGAGACACATTGTTAGTCCTTTTGGATGGATCTATGTAAATAATGATAATTAGTTTTCCTCCGGTGTCAGATAGATATCGGATACTGATTAGAAACACATGGAATCATTCCCTAATTACACTAACTTCCATTAAGGGAAGACGGGTTCAACACAAAAGTACTGGTCTGCAGAAGTGAAAGTAGTCTTTTGGCAACTCATAGATCTGAATCTTTTGATTCCTTGAGTACTCAAGTCTTTAGAGGACATTATTTAGTTTTTCCACTCAATAGACTGATTGGCCTTCTCTGGCCTTGTATGCTTCATCTCCCAGTCTCCTGGAAGGCCGGTATGTCTGCAGATGTTTACTACAGCTCAGTTCTTCATCAGGTTGTTAGTGGCTTAAGTGGCTCAGGTCTCCTCCATCTTCAGGCACTGCTGCTTTAAAAAATCATTATGGGCCCATTCTGAAAGGTTTTACTAAATAGTGGGATGAGTTCACTGTGAAATTAAATGTCTGGAAAACAAAAGAACTTGTTATTGATTTTAGGAAACATGAAAAAACCCCCCAACCTACTGTAATTCATGGTCAGACTGAAGAAATTGTCAATGACCGCAACTACTTAGGACTGATCATAGACAAAAACCTGAGACGGGATAAATGTTGTGACACCAGTTATAAAAATGGCCAACAGAAGCTCTTTTTTCTTAGGAAAAGCTACTTTCCTACAGCTATTTCAAGACGGAAAGAACTATTTTAACGTTTCTGTAAGTAATTTGTTGAACATGTTTTAGCATGCTGTCTCACTTGTTAGTTTGGCAACATCAGTACTATTAATTGTAATACTGTAGGTTGATAGTGAAAATAAGCAGCACAATAATTGGGTCTGCTCAAATAAACTTAAATATCCTCTACAAACTAAAGGTTGTAAAGAAGACCAGGGGCATTTTGGAGTGTGTGTCTCGTCCCTCCTCTGTGGATTTACACTACTCCCATGTGGGAGATGCCTCTGTGTCTCCAGATGTATCAGGAGATCTTTTAACCTCACTGCAATAACTCTCTCAAACAATGAATAGCATCTCTCTTATCTCCTGTTACACTGCACCTATTGTACCATCTTCTAAATGTGTAATATTTGTCTTCCTTGTTTCGTATTGTTGTATTGGACTGTGATGTAAAACAAAGCTTGAATTGAATTAAAATGACCTCATAAACCTGTAGCCAAGAAGGATTTGGATCAGACACTCCTGGTATACACCATAAATTATTTGTTATTATAGTGATAAGATCAATTCTGTACCAAATACTGTAGTTTAACCTTTCAGGTACTTAAAATGTGGTCTTGAACAATTGTCTCGGGATGGTATAATTTTTAATTAAATGGGTTGCTGAACTGACCTATGTGTGGTACTTTCCACTGGAGCATTTAACCCAACCCATGCAAAGAATTTTGTAATTTAAGGGAGAGTGATATATTTTGCTTAACTCAGCATCATAATTATAATTTCATTAAGATGGAAACCAGATCCCCTGCTTGCTGAGCAATTTGAAGTTGACGATAAGTCATTGAGATAATTAGGAGAGCATGCAGAACATTTTAGGGTCTTTGCCTAGTTTTTCACATTGTTATAACCTTCCATGTTTTTTTCTTCTTGTGGTGTTTGCAGGCCCTTTGACATAGAGAGGCAGTCCGATTTGTAATTTTGGAAATTTACATCCCTCAAATTACATACAGGATCATGTATTTTTCAGCCGTCAAAAGGTTTTGGAGAGGAGGGAGTAAAAAATACAAAAACTGGTTAAACAAGCTTACAGTAACAATCCAGAACTCCTAGCCTTCATAAAATCACACATGTAGAGGCCCCAAAAATCTTCATAGCCTACCACTAATGACTATTACATATGCTTGTTTCCTTTTCTCTTCAATAAGAGTTACCGAAGCATGTAATTCCACAAAGCAGTTTCATTGTTAAGCAGTTTTGTCACAGCATCTAGAAATGTGCCAACAAAACAAAACCTTATTGTTGCCGCCAAAACATTTTCTTATATTTTGTGATGCCCGCAATGGGCTTGTATCCCAGAAAGTCACTTTGAATGTGATGTTAGAACTTGGTTGGCCTCTCTTTGCTTTCTCAACGGCGTCTACGTACATATTCTGGTTTAGTATGCGATGTGCCAATTGGTAATGACCAATGGAACAGTGTTTCTGCGCTTCTGTTCCTGAAGCCTTGGGACTATTTGACATTTTGGAAATGAAAGAAAGCGACAGTGAAGAGGCTTTTTTGATCAAACGTATGCAGAGGAAGCCACGCAGTTCCCACTGTAAATGTGGCCTTCATCAGGATCCTCTTCTGTACCGTTTCCTCCTCAGATCCCCAACAATTATTTTTTCCAAAGGAAAAGATGATCATGTATTTTATGGTCAGGCTCGGGTGGATGTGTGTAAAACACATGCCATGTATACATCATTGCGATCAGGTTTTTTCTTTTTTTCTCCATGCAAATACGTCACAACCGATCAAATGTAAAAACACCAGGGCGAGTTCTGCCATGTTGATAGCACCTCAGGAATCAAACCCGAGTGTCTCAGCACAGAGGGTCCACTTAGATTCTCGGTTACGTAGTTAAATATTGACTCATCAGGCCAGAACGTATCTTGGTTCCTATGACATTAGGACATAACATGTACTGTACACATAAGAGACATACCGGTACTAATAAGCCTAGACTGTAAAGGATACTCAGCTAGCTTCTAGAATGTGCAACAGCCACAGTACAGTGTAAGCTGCTTTATAAATGTTGAGTTATTTTGCTGGGTGTAATATTTGTGCTTTTATTTTAAATTAAAATGCTCCCAAATTCTAAGATGTTTCTTTGGTTGTAGTGAAATGCCATTATATTTGGTATGTATGCAATTTAGAAGTCATTCAAAGTGATTATCACCTGCATAGAATGTTTGGGATAGTTGCTAAGGGAATAAGAGATGTCTGTTTTTTCAAGAGGTCAAAAAGTTGACATTCTAAGCCTACATTCATGTTTAATCCCTTTTTAATGTGTCTGTAGAAAAGCTTAAGGAATTAATTTTAGTGTTGTCAAGAGTGAGAATTGATTGGGATGCAGTTATGGATTTGTACATCAAAATCTGTGTGTCTCAAGAGAAAAAATAGAGGGACATTAAAGTTTTGTTAGTTTTGTAATACAACTTTTCTAATAGAGGTTACAACCTCCAGCTAAACCTGAGAGACATACAGTAAAAGTATAAATAAAACAATACAAAAGAAAGTTCTAAAATAAATTATGTCTGGAACTCCAAATTCCTTCACCCACCCACAGTGATTGTGGTATATATTTGTGGAGACCTGCTTGTTCAGATAAAGCTGAGGAGTATTCTGAGCACTCTGATCACGGGCAGAAAGGTCTGGATAGGGCAGAAAGCAGTCTTCAACTGATATTTTATTAATGCTCTGGTCCAGGGTGCTACTATAGTGCGGTACATGTTTGGTGGTACATTGTCTTAAGAGGGTAAGCCAGTGTGCTCTGTGTACAATAATTTCATATAGTAGGTGGGGACTGTTTTTTCACCACAGTCTCCGTATACTTCCATACACTTCTGCCATCACTTCTCTAGGTTACAGGTGCCTCAAAGCAACCTGATCTCTGTCATTCCCTGTCCATTCTTGCACTGCCTTATGGGCATCGCTAATGGCTCTGAAATTCTGACATTGAGAGCATCCTACATCATGTTTTAACTGCCTTTTTCTAACGTACAAATTATCATTATGAATAAGGACAAATACTTATCATTGTGAATGGGAAAAAATTGGAAAATAAGGAACAGAGTGATATATGACTTGAATATATATGAAGCTCTGGAGTGGAATGAGACTGCTGCAGGTTGTACAGTACCTTCATAGTGCCGCGTGAGTCTAGGTACAGTATGTACTTCACAGTATACTGTATATAGGTAGTTAACATTATAGTACTTCACAGTATTTTAGGAAGTGACAGGGCCTTGGTACTGAATCCTGATCAGGTCAGCAGTTTGCTTAATGATGCTGGTGAAGTCTTGCCAAATGTCTAATCAAGATACAGCCACACACCTGAATTTCATCACCGCCCTTTTATACAGTACTTAGAATAGTCATTTCAAAACGTTTGACATCATGTAGTTGGACTAAGATTTAATAAGAAGTATTAGAACACTTAAAACACTTTATAAAGTAATTCATGCTTATCATCCACTAAGCTTATCCACTAAATACTGCTAAGTAAAGGACTGTTGTACTGTACCTTTGCTCTTTGTCTTGTGTTCTCCCAGTTCCCATTTTGGAAAAGCTGCACACTACTATACTGCACTGACCATGATCACTTTTCAACACTCATCTTTTCACACTGTACCTGTGATACCTACACCCTCACCCTGCCTCCCCACAGACCCGTCGTGCACCTCTGCCACTGCTGATTGATGCCTGCTTGGGACGCGTCTTCTTGCTTTTACTCTGAAATCATCTGACCTTATTGGCTCCCTCTGCCTGATGATTTCATCCTGCTGCTCGTCTGTTACATTACCTTGTGTTGTGCCGTATATCTCTTACCGTGAGGTGATGTTCTAACATTAATTTAATTGCACCACCCTGCTTGCGTGCCGCACTGTCAGAGCTGCAGTCGACTGTGAAATTGTTGAACGCTGTTGTAAAATTTGTGATTATTCAGTTTGTCACCTTTTATATTTGCATAGACTTAGTAATGCCTGGACTGATACATGAGTTTATTACAAAACAGCTCTTCCTGAAATTCAAAACATGTAAGAAAATCAGTGACTCAAGTGTTATTGTTTCTGCCAGTTTTACTGATGTTTCTTGTTCCTTAATTCCCGTCTCAGTTTTCGGTCTTCGGAGCCCGCGGGCTGGGTGTGAGGAGCAGCGCGGGCCCCAGCCTCAGCAAAGCCGAGTTCATCGAGAAAGTGCGCCAGAGCAACCAGGCCTGCCAGCGGGGCGACTTCCAGCTGGCCATCCGCCTCTACACTGAGGCCCTGGAGGCCGACCCCCAGAACTGCATCCTCTACAGCAACCGCTCCGCTGCCTACATGAAGGTGCAGGAGTACCACACCGCCCTGGACGACGCCATCAAAGCCAGGCTGCTCAACCCCAAATGGCCCAAGGTAGGACAGTTTGCGCAAACAGGAGGCGCATCGCACATGCCCCTGCAGAACACCAACCAGGAAAGTGTCCACTTGAGCTGTTTATTACTCCAGTGGCTACTGCTTCTTGTTCACAGTGTCTCACTTACACAAGCGATTAACGTGTAGCTTGTCAGCAGTTGGATAAAGCTGTTGATTTCTGTTAGTTTTTGCAAACTTTTCATCTAAATGGCGATAGAACCCTATCTTATACACTTAAAGAGCTTTGGAAAGGGGTATAGAAATGTACTGGTGCTTTGTGATTGCTGAGAGATGTACAGTGGTATTCTAAGAATGGCATTGAGAGTCCTGTGGTTTAACCCATGAAAACTGCCTTTTTATTATTTACTTCATAGCGCATTTTGAGGTTCTGTGTTTTTAACACAATATTCTTTAAAGCTCCAATCATCAAGCTACTCTGAACTGTTAAAATATTTGTAAATACCCACAGCATAAATAATTTCCGACTTGTAGATGGATGATTGTGACCTTTTCATCCCATAATTACGAATTTTACCAGGGAAATGTGTCTCACTTCAGGTGGTACCTATGTTAAATACTCTCATCTACGTTGGTTTTTTATAAATGTGAAAGTAAGTGCAAGCACACAGGGCAACCTGCAGTGCCACTATTGAAATGACTTCAATATAAACCTGTCCCACACTGCAAAACTGGAGCATGAAGTGATTTCTGCGGTGACCTTATTTTTAACATTATTTGAAAAAATCGGAGTAGTCCGGGATGTCCATCATACCAGCAATATAGATTTACATTTGATCAGTTGTGACGTATTTAAGTTTTTATCTTTTTACACAAAAAGATTACAGGTCATGAGCCTGGTAGATGTTTTTTCTCACAGTCGGATGAAAAAAGAATTGAAGGTGGTTGTGAATATAAGATTTGGCCACCCTTCAAACCATCAGATATCTTATAAAAAAAACCCACAGATAAGAAGCTAATAGCACCATCTTTTGCAAACTAAAAAAAACGGGTTTCAGGTGTCTCCTCAAGCTGGCGTTGTCAATCTGGAGGTGTTAGAAGGCAGGTGGACTGCTGCTGACCCCTGTCGATTATCTCCTGAGTGCGCTCGTCTTTAATGAAGAAGCACAGTAATGAGGAGAGAGTGGCGTGCAGTGAGCAGTCCCAGTGTCAGCAGCACTCATGCACCCTTCTCCCCTAATTACAACTCTTGGAAGAAAACAGCCTTTGGTCTTTTCTGACCATAGCACCCGCTTATCTGTGTTTGCCATAACAAAATAAAATTATCACTGACTTTTCAAAGATTATTTATAAAAGTGCTGTTTTCTGGTCCCTGTGTTTTTCATATTAGTAAGTGAACCTTGGCACCACTCCCAGAGAAGCCTAGTCAAGTTCATGTTTTGAGGTGTCAGCTGCAGGCCTTGTGAAATTGTACTTATTAAGCCAAAAACTTCATTGGATTAAATTAATTTTAATCCATTTAATGTCATTTAAAATTGATTTAATAAAGTAATTGAGATCCCAGTTGGAGAGGAAGACAGTAGGCCATGTGGTCATCCTGAGTTGGACCAGTTACTTCTACACCTCATATGTATTTTTAACTGAGAATTTATCAGAAAGTACAATGTACTTTATGTTTCAGGCTGAACACACACTATTATTTTAAAAAGTTCTAGATAACATAGATGTGACTTGTTTATTTTATCTTAATTGATGGTGTTTCCAGTAGTGGACACAACAGGTATCGTATATAGCGTTGCCTGATCTGCGTGCTGCATGTGACCCAAACCACAGGTGATGTTCAGACATTTATATGTGAGATGTGTTTACAGAATGATGTCACAGCCAGGATCTGCAAAATAAACCTCATTTTATCGTATCTCTAATATGGGATTACATTCACTTTTTCTAAATATTGTGAATGACTATTTTCTTGAATGTAGGTTTGAGGTGTTCCAGTTCATATTTTTAATATTGGTGTGTCTATGTTTGTATCAATGCAGACACTAAAACATATATATTTGTGACATTACATTATAACAATATTTACTGCAGGCATAACGTACCTTGATTAAAAACAGTTTAAAGACATTAAAAATAACCTTAGTGCTTGATATGTGTATTTTGAAAGGGTACTTTTTAATGCTCATGATATTGTAAAGGCTGGCTGGGCTCCCTGTTTAACTGCTTGGATATCAAAGGAAACTGTGCTGCATATGAGCAAAGGAAATATTTCATCTAGAGCAAGGGAACGGAGTGCTCCAGCTGGATATCCTTGTGCTGTGCAACAGGAGAGAGCTGGCTAGGGGTTAGACTGTGACTGAGACGTTCATTCGATTTCACTAGATTCCGCTGAGAACAGATGACTTGTGTCTCTTGTGTTATCAGTTTGTAGTTTCTGAAAAAGCCTCTTTGAAGTGCCCTTTCTTGTACAGCTGTGCCATTAATGGGAAGTTTTTCTCTTTATGCCTACAGTACATTATTCAGCCTTCTTTCATGTCTTTTAATGGATTCAGTTTTCTTAAATAGAAAGTGGACACAGCATGCTTCCAGGGAGAGCAAGGCCACTATCAAATACTCCTTCTTCAATTCATTTGAAGATTTTCTCGCTTGTTGAAAAAATAATTAATTGTTCAGATTATATGATTATTCCATGCAAGCTGATCACTAATAATGTATTTTAAAAAAAGTTTAAATTCTAATGGATGATATATCGGGGATTTCTTAGCTCTGGTCTTTGGGGTCTGGAATACACTTTTCTGTAGATGAAGTAGCATTTTGAAGACCATGGAGGGGGGTTAAACAGGTTGAGTCAAGTTTTAACTGGATCAATTTAATCTCTCTCCAAGAAGCACAGCTGCCTATAACCTCAAGATATGGTATCTACAGTAGCAAGCCTGCTGCATTCCGGACCCCCAACCAGAGCTGAGTGCCCTGGAGACGGTACCAATCCGTCAGAGTAGAAACGTGGAGCAGTACTTGGCTACACAACAAGATTTCTGCACTCTGGTTTCTAACTTGTACGTGGCACATACAGTACAGTACCACCACATCTTTAGGTTGGGCTTGTAGGAACAGGCTTCCATAAAGTTAGAGCAAATTTATGGAGGTAACCAACCCACTTCAATCATTTAGAAAACTGCAAGTGGTCTCAAGTATACAGTAGATACACAGTGGACTGTGGTCCAACCATCAGTTTCCGGTATTTTTTATATTTGGTAGAGTCTGTACAGAGTTATGGGAATTCTATCTGTGGTTTTGAAGTTTTTCTTTGAGATACTTGCATCTTATGAGTTCCACTGAGAAAAAAGATTATGCTAAGTTATTCACAAATAATTTAACATGCACTGCACTCTATATCCAATTGAGAGTAAGTTACATCAGTCAATAATAATAGCTTGGTAACATGCCTATTATTTCTTTTTGTCTAGAAAATAAAATAGAAACTATTTTCATCACCACATTTAAACTATTTAATTTTTTGTTATTCTTTTATAACGCTAAAATATTTTTACTGGCCTATAGTGGCTCATTTCCCAAACCTTTGTTTGAACTGAACTGCTAAAGAGAAAATATGATTGAGTTGTAAATGCTGTTAAAATGAGCATTAATCCTTTTTCTTTCGTTTTTGTGTTCATTGACACAGTGGGTTTTTTGTAACCTAAACAATGGCTTTGTAAAGTCAGCAGGGAATGTCACTGTATGCAAGTATCAAACCAAGTGGTAGCAAAGGTTCTTCTTGTTATAGCAGAGCAGATTTCAAATCACAACCATATGCTTGCAGTGGTAGCTGACTGAAATATGGCCTGCCAGGTTTTACATTAAGGCCAGTCACATTAAAGCACAGCCTCCAATAGTCAAAGCCATTCCTCCCAGGTCATATGACATTGTAACAATATACACAGTATTATAGCCACCTCATACAGCATTTCTCATCCTTACTTTTTCCTGGCTGTAGTCTTTTACAGTCTGCATTTGATACAGCAGAATACTCCCAAGCAACAGACTTACCTTCAAACCTGTTTGTCCAGTAAACCAATCAAACTTTTACTTGTTGAATAGCAAGAAAGTGTTTTAATATCTATTACCAAAAGCAAGAGAAGACCGCTCTTAACCACTTTGAATGCAAGGTGTTTGGAGCTGATATGAATGCACATTCTCCATTGACTCTTTAAAATAGACATTGAATCATTCTTTTATATTGACTTCACTTGTAAGAAAAAAGAGAATGAGAACAACACAAAAATGTTCTGCAAAGCACCATGGTGTTCGGGGCCTTTCTCGATAAGCCCCATTCCTTTCTTGATCAAGACCCTGTGGTATTAAATTTGCCAGGCTGTGTTCTTCACACGCTTTATATAGGCAGGAGTTAGCGGTTTTTGTTTTCCCTGGGGGCAAACTGTCCACTCCAAAGCAAAGGAATGAAATGGGCAATTTGCCAGCTGGGAAAATTAGGACCATAAAGTGCTGCATTCGTTGGTGATGCATGAAAAGAAGTGCTAATTAGTTCAACATGAAATCAAAACTCTTGCAGCTCAGTCACTTTCTTGAGCTGTGATTTCAAGGACGTGGAGTTTACCGCAGCAGCCAGGCAGAACATAACAGTGCTTTCTCTCTTCGGGCACAAACAGGGATGGATGTGTAAGTGGCTTTTCACCCAGGAACCCAGAGCAGCAGCAGGAAATGGGAGTTTAGATTCACTCAGTGCTTGAATATCAACATATAAAATCAAAACCTGGCTTGCAAAAAACTCACTATCTGTCTGATATCATGGATAAACTAGCACATGCAATTTCCAGATAATTTGATTTGATGTGAGTCTTGGTTTGGTCAATCTAATTAAAATTAATTTTGTGAAATAATGTCATCATAGGACTTTCATCTACACGTTTCAGGGTTATTACAGGAACATCATGGAAGCGAAGATAAAAAGAATGTATAATTTAAACCCTAAATTTCAGAGGACTATATATATATAATTAATTGGAAAGGAAGGAAGTCTG